AGTCTTGTAGTACTAAATTGTATATAGATATCTTTATATCTATTTCTTATCTTCATAGATATCAAACAACGTATCACAAATTTATCATGGAAGAATCTCATACTAAGTATATCAATATGCAGAAATTAGCATTAAGTATTTTTTATGACTATATTAAAATCGATTTCCTTAAAACAAAACTTTGTAGAAATGATTTTTTTTTATTTCATTAATTATTTTATTAAAATTAAAGCATTTAAAATTATATCACTTTATAACAATTTGTTATCAAAAGTAGGAATATTAAAAACTTTAGAATTATATATATGTACTATTGATGCATAATTAGTGTCGTTTTTAAACTTTGCGTACTTTATGCACAAATTCAATCTATTATCAAACTTTATACATATTTGACATATTCAACATTTGATGTTACACTTAAATAAAATCTACTTTCTTCTTTTTAATAATCATTATTATTTATATCAATAATATTTTAAAGTTTTAGATAAAACTAGCAACACATCTCTTCCTATATAATTCATTTATATTATAAATCATTTATGGAGCTAGTAATTAATTAACATATTAAAAAAACTGCCGTGTGACTTATGTTAACGCATACATTCATATTTCTTGTTATTTGTTATAATATTAAAATGCGAGTTTTTTAGATTCAGAAATCAAATATATTAAATAATAATAAACGTAAAACTGAATTATATATTTAGCTATTTTTACCTCTTAAAATAGATTTCTTGGATTTAAAAGACAAAATGTAACACATGTTATATCGCGTTATTCAGACAACATGATTATCAATCTCCTGTCTCGCAAAAATGTAAAACTTACATTTATTTTTATATAATTTCCTTTGGCTTAAAAATTTTATATTATATACTAAGAAATTATTGTTATATATGTATACTCTTTAATTAATTAAATCTGAATATTTACATTATCTTTTAAAGGTATTTGTTATACCTGCCACTTCAACAAAACAATCGGTATCGTCACTTTGACAAAACAATCACGAACATTAATATCATCGGATAGTGTACTTCCTATAACGTAAGTAATTACACAAAAATCACATTTTATAACATTGCGGTCTCATCATTGTGAAATATTTCAATTTCATAATTATTATGCGTTTAGTTCGAAGGATGACGAAAATGCAACATAATTTAGTCATTGTTCTAATGCTTTATTTCGGTTTGCTTACAACATTAGAAGCATTTCGTCCACAAGAAGAGAACACATTACGATTTGTGAGCGCGGTACGATATGAAAATTATAATTCTGCAAAAAAAGATTTCTTCTAAAAAACTCGAAACTATTGTAACATTAAAATTTTCAGCTATTCAGACATGGCGACCGTACTGTAGACACTGCAAATAATGAATCATTCCCAAATGATCCATATAAAAACTTTGACTATTATCCGGATGGCACCGGTCAGTTAACTAATGTAAGACATTTTATGCATATGCATTTTTAATCCTTTCACTGTTAATAGCATTTTATATATTCTATATTTTATGTCACATATTTAAATTTTCAAAAAAACAGAAATTATGACAATTCTCCGGAAATACCTATTTTTCATATGTAATATGTATACATCAAGATAGCAAATACGGCTAAGTATATAGGTCCGTAATATTAACGAAAAGATTGACATTTTTCTCATTTCTTCGTTTTCGCGTTTGAAAGATATTATTCGTTTATTCTCAAGTTTCCATCTCGTTAGAAGAGAGAAAGTGAAAAATATTATGTCTTACTTTCCTTCTTATATATTATTTATTTTTATTAATAATGTTATTATTAAGGCCGGCAAGAAGAGAGAATATAAACTTGGATTGATGCTAAAAACAGATACAAGAAATTTCTTGGATCATATTATTATCCGCCAAATGTCTATATACGTAGCTCGATGATCCCTAGGACCAAACATCCGCACAAATAGTTCACGCGGCACTTTCTCACCTACTGGCGAGCAAAAGTGGAATCCGGTACTTCCTTGGCAACCAGCAGATATCAATTACATTTATGATGCTCAAGATATGCTGCTGTTTGAAATTATGTGCCCCGTGTAAGTAATCTTTTTTTCTTTATCAATATATAATACCGAATGTATAACAATAAATCGTACATCTCAAATAATGTAATAATAATATATATTGATTTATATTGAATTTTAATTATATTGATGTCAAAATAATATATGACAAATGGACGAAACAAAATAATATATGTATATAAGGCAAGCGATTGATAAAACTTAAACAAATGTATACAATATACTCTCATTTTCTTAACATTTTTAACATTTATTTTATTTTATTAGTCTATATTATATATTAATTAATTTAATTTAATTTTGTGACACTTAAGATATTTTTTTACATTACGTTTCAAAAAGAGCGTGTCTATATTTACAGATTATATTATATAAATTTATCATAAATAATATATTTTTTTTTTAAATTAAAGATTATTTCTCTTCTGTAAATTATTATTATTTTAAATTTAATTCAAATATGTGCATTTTTTCGGATAGGTATAAACGACTTTATCAAAAATGCTACAAACTCCAGAAATAAAAAAAAATTAGCAAAATTTACTAATTTAAGGGAAAAACTGTCAATATGCACAGGAAAAATATTACCACAATGAATGACTGTTTACTTGTGTATAGTACTTTGGTTGCACAAAAACATTATGGACTACCTACACTGCCATGCATGAAAGACATATTTCCAAATGGCAAACTTTTGGATGCTGCTATTTTCCAAATGAAACTATTTAGTTATGGCCCGTTAAATAAAATAAATGGAGGTATGTTTGAATCAACAACATACATTTTGTTTATGAATTCTCTAATAATAACAGATTAATCTTCGCGATTGTGCTTAAATATTAATTATACATTTCGATTATATAAATGACATTCAGCTATTTTACTTGTTCTTTCATTTTCTTTTATATTTTATTTTTCCTCAGATAAATATGACTATAAAAGTGAGAAGAATAATCGTTTTCAATGTCACAAGTTTAAAAAAAAACGTTCTTTTTACTGTAATACATGTTAATGTTAAATATGCGAGAAATATATGTTCCGTTAGAAATAACAGCATTCTGAAGCACGCTACCGTTTTAGATCTATGAAATACAGATAATTACTAAAAATTGACATAGAGTATTATGATTGAGAAAATAATTAAATCTATTACTTTAATGATTGCATTAAAGAGATTGATACACATTTCAATCATGTGTAATTTAATAAAAAAATGTTTATACATGAATAGATCACGTATGTATCTATATACTTTATAAAATATTTATAAACATTTTATCTAGGTATATTGTTAGGCAGAATAATTAACGATATGAAACAGAAAATAAATGGAACCTTACCAGAGCTAAAGATTAATCTCTTTTCTGCACACGACATAAATGTGGCCGCATTATTGCAGGCCTTAAATATATATAATAACGAAATTCCAAAATACGGAAGCTGTATCATGATAGAATTGCATGAAATTAATAACGAGTATTTTGTGAAAGTAAGAATCTATTTTCATGTGCCAGTACCATTTGCAAATAATACTTGTATCACTAATGCTTAACAATTATAACAAATGCTTATTTTTGTAGGTATTATATTATTTAGGTATACCAGCAAAAATAGAAGAAAAAGTCATCCCTGGCTGTGAGGTATTATGTCCTATAATAAATTCGTTCAATTATTATCGGCGACAACTGCGACGAACGAAGAATCGCAATGTCCAGAAAAATGGACTTCGATTTTAACTTTTAACGATTTGATTTTCGACTGTTCTTATTAATTCTCTTTGTGATGTAGTTTTTATTCATGTTTGATTGATTGAATTTGACAAAACATTTGAACGACATTATAAAGATTTTTGAATGATTTTTAAATGACAAAACATTTGAATGGCATATTAAAAATTTTTATAAGATTTGAATAAAATTGATTATATGTATATATATCTATATATATATATGTTTATGTTGTTGTTATATAGATTTGTTATTATAAATGTGAAACTGTTTATTTGTATTAATAATTTATATAATATTAACTCTTTTAACAATGTAAAATTTTCACAGCAACATAATGAATAATGTACTAATCTGACGATTAATAAGGTAAGCGTTCTTATAATGTACAAGAAGTCTTTAATCGCATGATTACTAATATAATTAATAAAGTGATATATCAGCAATCTTAAGCTCTGTGTGTCTTCTAGTCTTTTAGTACTAAATTGTGTATATAGATATCTTTATATCCATTTCTTATCTTCATAGATATCAAACAACGTATCACAAATTTATCAAGGAAGAAGCTCATACTAAAATAACAATATGCGAAAATTAGTATAGCATTTTTATGACTAATATATTAAAATCGATTTCCTTAAAACCAAACTTTGTAGAGATGATCTTTTTTTTATTTCATTAATTATTTCATCAAACTGATAAATTAAAATTATATCATTAAAAAAAAATTTCTTATCGAAATTTAGATAAATTAAAAACTTTAGAATTATATATATGTATTATTGATGCATAAATTAGTCTCGTATTTTTAAGCTTTCGCGTACTTCATGCACAAATTTAATCTATTATCAAATTTATACGTATTTGATAATTAATGTTACACTTAAAAAGGAATCTACTTTCTTCTTTTTAATAATCATCATTATTTATATCAATAATAATTTTTAAAGTTTTAGAGTCTATTATTATGACACCAATATAATTAAAATTCAATATATATCAATATATTATTATTATATTATTTGAGATGTACCATTTATTGTTATACATTCGATATTATATATTGATAAAGAAAAAAAGATTACTTATATAGGGCACAGAAATGGAAACAGCAGTTTATCTTGAGCCTCATAAAGATAATTGATATCTGCTGGTTGCCAAGGATGTATCAGATTCCACTTTTGCTCGCCATTAAGTGAGAAAAGTGCCGCGTGAACTATCTGTGCGGATGTCTTGGTTCTAGGGATCAGCGAGCTACGTATGTAGATATCTGGCGGATAATAATATGATCCGAGAAAGTTGTTGTATCTGATTTTTAGCATCACTCCGAGTGCATATACTCTCTTCTCTCTTGCCGACCTTGATAATAACATTATTAATAAAAATAAATAATATATAAGAAGGAAAGTAAGACATAATATTTTTCACTTTCTCTCTTCTAACGAGATGGAAACTTGAGAATAAACAAATAATATCTTTCAAACGCGAAAAACGAAGAAATGAGAAAAATGTCAATCTTTTCGTTATTATTACGGACGTATTTAGTTAGCCGTAATTACTCTCTCGATGTATACATATAACATATGAAAAATAAGTATTTCCGCAGAATTGTCATAATTTCTGTTTTTTTGAAAATTTAAATATGTGACATAAAATATAGAATATATAAGATGATATTAACAGTGAAAGGATTAAAAATGCATATGTATAAAATGTCTTACATTAGTTAACTGACCGCTGTCATCCGGATAATAGTCAAAGTTTTTATATGGATCATTTGGGAATGATTCATTATTTGCAGTGTCTACAGTACGGTCGCCATGTCTGAATAGCTGAAAATTTTAACGTTACAATAGTTTCGAGTTTTTTAGAAGAAATCTTTTTTTGCAGAATTATAATTTTCATATCGTACCGCGCTCACAAATCGTAATGTATCTTCTGGTAATGTCTCTTCTTATCGAAGAAGAATTGCTTTTAATGTTATTGTCTTATAACAATGTAGAACTTTCACAGCAACATAATGAATAATGTATACTAATCTGACAAACAATAAGATGACGACGAACAAAACTCTACAACAATTAAGAAAAGAATATGATTTTATTAACATTTTATTTCCACAAGGCGCTTAGTTTGCGAAAAATCCCTTATTTTCAATCGCTCGAAAATTATTGATGTCTCGATATTTTTGTAGAGAAAAAAATTGTCTCCAAATTATCCCAGGAATCTGCCTATAACTGGTTTACTACTAGCGTTTCTGGGACACTCTGTATACTTAATTAATATATCTGTACATTTAAATGTAAAAAAGGACAGAGAAAATGACTATCTATGGTATTAAAACAAAACGCGATACAAACACGCCTCGATATAAATCGATGCCCTATACACGATATATATCCGGGTGTAATTGACGTTCTACAAACGAAAACAGAGACTTTCTTTGACCCTTTTTCACATTTATCGATCGCGAGTACGCGATCTCGCAACCGGCGCTAGTTTTGATGGATAACAAAAACGCTTTCGTAGTTCGTTTATGCTCGGTCTCTGCAACGTGATGTAATGGATGCATGCAAAGACCGACCCCATAAATCATATTCGATTCAGTCATAATAATGTATAATCATCATCATGATCGACACGTAAAAATGCTTTGCAATACGTCTAGGCGTCTTCGGGGAATAAACAAGCAAAAGGGAAAGGGTGAAAAGAGCGAGAGGTCTTTTTATTTCGTATTTGATATTACGGCGGAAATATTTGTATTAAATAAAAAATCTACAGAAATTCGAGACAAATAATCGCGAAACGAGGATGTAAACATTTACGTTCCCTCGAAATACAGAAAATTATAAATAGAATGTTATAAGCCCCAATATATTTTTGCTTCTTTAGTGGAGGAAGAGGGAGGTTTATTTGAATTAAAATCTCGAAATAAAATTATTTAATTACTTGGCACGAAATTTATGCCAACTAATAAGTTTCGATGAAAAATTAATTTTTATGAATGCGTCTGGCTTTTTTAGTCGGTTGAAATTTATATTTTTGTTTCATATATTGAAAGTCTTCCTAAATTTTTTAGTAATATAGAGTTCCTCGATACTTTTGATGTAGCAATTTATCATAAAATGTTACATTTCTATTCGAAACACTCAATCATATTATATCGCATTGTACAACTTCCGACAAGATGAAAGGTTTTGATTTTAATTTATGATTGTTTTGTCAAAAAGAGTGACCGATTTAGTCCAACCATTTCGTTTTTAATCAGTCTACTGTCGACATTCAGATGTTTGACATCTTTTTAACAGTTAGTACAGTAAGTATATACAATTAAAGACATGGGCGTCCGCAGAATCTTTTTCCAGAAGGGGCATATTAGATTTTTAAATATTTTGTTCTTAATCATTTTAAATTTTATTTTTTGTTATTTTTATTCTTATATTAATATGCAAATAATTTTAGTGTTAATTAAAAGGAGAGCAACATGCTTCATTTTTTTACTAATTCCAAGGGGAGGCAAATGTCCCTTTTGCTTCCCTCTGCGGACACCCATGATTAAAGAGTATTTAAAAATAAGTAATAAATATAAAATAAAGTATTAAGTTTGTGGACAATCGTTGTCGAAATCAAATCGAAGTCAAGGCTAATTCTCGTACATACTTTTTAAACATTTTTATCTGGGTAAATATTATATCCTATATTTCTTTGCATGCCACAATAAACACAACGATATTAATTATTCTGTTTATATAAGAAATAATTTTGACGAAATGTAGATTTTACTCTTGATAGATTAATTGTTGATCAAGTTAAAGCAAATGCTTCTAAAAATTCGTAATAAACGGATGAATGTTCAAGTTATTTAAACATAGAGATTATTATTATAAATTGTCATCGAGAAATAATCTGTAAAATGTTTCGAAAAATGTTTTAAAACTACTGGATTTTTATTTCATTGTTTGCATTAAAGAAGGCTGAAAGAAGGCCAAGGTCAAAGAATGTTTCGCATAATTTTATCTACACTTATAATTTTCTTCGCGTTATCTTATGTTAGTTATTAATTTTCTGATATTAATATATAAAAATGTATAATTAAATTTATGTAAATATTTTTATTGCATCCTCGTACTTTATTATGTTAATTTATAGTCGATCGATTTTAAATATGTAAATGAATTTATTTTTAACGCTTTATGATTTGGTTCGTATTTGCCTTTAAGTTGTTTGTTCGAAAATGTAGTATTTATTAAAAGAGTTTCGTAAGAGAGAAAATTTACATTCTTTTATTAACTAGTCTGTAAAATAACTTGTAAAATATTTGAAAATTGTAGTCGCCACGTATAATTTATTGAAAAAGTCCTTATAAGAAAAGTCCTCCCATTTTTTTCGATCACGCATTTAAATTATCAGAGTCTTATGAAGTTTCTCGTTATTAATATCCGCAACATCGTAAACTCGTTGGCATAAATTATCTGATCGAAGGTAATAAATAATAAATTAGAGAAATGCGCGCAAATTTAGCACGAAATTTAGCTCGATGAAAGTTTAAAAACGCATTGGTCGATGAAATCGATATCGAGAGTTTATTTGTAGGTTCAGCTCAGGACTTAATTTGAGGTTTGGCTCGATAATGTGGA